AAATTATTCCATTACCCTCCTTGATGATCTTCCCAGTTCCCTATCACAGACTGGATCGATTTCAAGAATCCTCACACTCGTTTCCAAATCACTTCATACCCTGGCACCTCCCTACCTCTCCCAACTGCTTATTCCCCACTCCACTACCCACCTGAAAAACTCAGAAAAGCGCTTTGGGCATCCTTGCAATATGAAAGGTACTATATAAGTGTAAGTTGTATTGTTCAGTAACCCAGACATAAGCATGCATACAAACTGCAGTGTGGTAAACGAGAAAGAAATAACTCTGACTTTTATGCCCAAAACGTAGATGCTCCTATGTAATTACAGTCAAGTATAGTGTCTTATTTTGTAGGTAAGAGCAGCAACCATTTTGCACACAGCAAGGTCCTACCCACAACTATGAGATGAATGACCCATATAAACTGGAGGATTGTTGGCCAGGAGAAACCCGTCTTGTTTTAAATAGTGTCAAATGATATTTAACATCCACTCATCACTCTTAACCCATACTGACCTAAAATAAGGAGGTGAAACTAAGCATGCCAATGAGCACATCCCCTTAAGCTAGGGGAAGAAAAAAAGATAAGTGAATTAATTGCCTGGAGGTAAAAATATGCCATTAACTGCTTGTATGATAGTAAATGACATTTAATAGCTCTATTTGCTTCTCTTCCCATGGGTACACTCTTCAGTAACAGCTCACTGCTTCACCCATTTTCATTTTGTATCCAATGACTCTTTATAGTCCTGATGGGACTTGCTCAGCATCATATCACAGGGTCAATTATCGTAAATCAGCAGAACGACATCTCCAGCAGACCCTCACTGAAAGGATTAAATACAAGTAGGTCCACAGGATACACTAAACCCCAATCTGCCCAATTAGGTAAGGAACAGTAGGTTGGCATTCAATGTGAATCAATGTTCTTGTTCCATATTTTACAGCACTGCTCCAAAGCAGCCACTCTCATAAGCAAATTTAATGTTTAAAGAAGTCACTGCTGTGTGCAATTGATTGCTGCTTTTCGCCAACAAATATACAGTCAATTTATTCTACAGTATATTCTGTGAAGTGCTTTGAGACGTCTAAAAGACGTGAAAAACGCTATATGAAATGCAAGGGTTATTATATCATTATGCAATATTAAGTGACTTTGCTTTAAACAATGACGTAAACCAACAATCCAGAAACTCCTTCCCATCTTTAGAAAAAGTCTGTGTTTGAGGGGGAAATTAGTCAATCCTGTGAGAATCACACCTGAAGACAAACCAATAGACAAACCTGAGGGAAAAAGTAATTTTTTGAAAATAGTTTACACAATATTCTAATATCTGCCTCAGCTGGTAGCACTCTCGCCTCAGAGTCGGAAATCTGTGGGTTCACGTTAGGGTTTTGAACTCAGTTGGCACTCCAATGCAGTGCTGATGGCACCACTGCATTGTTGTCTGTCTGTCTGCCAAACAGACATTAAAGACATGAAGCTATTCAAATAGAAATTTCTCTCGGTGTCCTGGCCAACAATAGCCCAGAGAAAATTGGTCAGTCACTCCATGTTGATTTGTGGGACACTGCTGTGCACATATTTGACTGCTGCATTCACCCACAAAACACAAAGTCTTTCCATTTTACATTATATCCTGGGGAGCACTTTGAGACATCCTTCTTATGTGAAAGTTTCTGTATCAAATGGAAGGAATAAATTGCCTAGAAAACACAGTCACTAAACCTGACAGTAAAATCCAGTGAAGCACTATGAGACATCTCAATAATGCAACATCAAATGCTACATCAAATATGAGGATTTTTTTTCGTGCAAATTGGCTGTCAATTTCACCAACAAAATACACTTTACACTAAATCCTGTGAAGTTCTTTGAGATGACCTCTTGGCATGAAAGGTAGAATATCAAACGCAAGGATTATAAGATTATTTTGCATTTCTTTTGCATGGCAAAGTTCCATTTTAAGTAAGTTTTGTTCTTATTTATTTCATAAGATCAATATTTTCCACTTCTGAATATGTGTGCATTAATATTACTGTGGGGGAGGCTGGACATGATCTGGAGAAAAGCATCTGGTTGAAATTTCATGCGAAGATGAAGCCAGCAGTGAGGACTGGAAGCAAGTTCAGAAGGACACCAACAAATGAGTAGATTGGGCAGAGATATGGTGATGAAATTTAATGCAGAAAAATGTGGGGTTGTACGTTTTGGGAGGAAGACTAAAGAGAGCAAGTCTATGCTAAATGATAAAACTATAAAATGGAAGCACAAGGACATTGAGGTTCACATAAACGATTAAAGCTGAGAAGCCAAGTGGACCCGGCTGTGAATAAACCTGATAGCAATCTTGGTTTTATAAATAGGGGCATAGAATATAAAACCAAAGAGGTAATGTAAAACCAGAGTTAGACTGCAGTTAGAGTATTGTGTCAACTTTTGGTTACCATAAGGAAATCATGGCAATAGAGAGGGTGTGAAGGAGATTTCCCAGAACCATACAAGGGATGAATGGTCTGACCTCAGAACAGAAACTGAGGAGTTGGGTTTATTTTTGCTGAAAAAGAGAAGGTTAAAGAGGAATGGGACAAAGGCAAGTAAATTGGACTGAACGGGGGAGGGAGGGAGAGAGAGAGAACGCAGGCACAATAGATCAAATGGTCTTCAGTGCTGTAAATCTCCATTGTTTCCAATTGGTAGAAAAGTATTATGCACTTTAAATACATTTAGCAGATTAAGTGCTAAACTGGTTTACAAAGGGGATGACAGTGGCACTGAAGAATTAATCTCTTCCTTATTCAACAAGTTTATTACAATATAATAATAATAATAATAATCCTTGCATTTTGATATAGCGCTTTTCACGTCGGGAGGACGTCCCAAAGCGCTTCACAGAAGAAACTGTAAAGTGAATTGACTGTATATTTGTGGGCAAACGCGGCAGCCAATTGCGCACAGCAATGTCCCACAAACAGTCGTAGATTGAAAATGACCAATTTATTATTGTTTTTGGTTTTTGGAGGGATTATTATTAGGCTCTGTGTGGAGTAAGGAAACTTGCCCAAGGTTTCGCCCTCTGCCTGGAATTGAACTCAGGTCTCTCGCTTGCAAAGCGAGTGCTCTAACCACTGAGCTACAGGACTCCACGATAGTTAGAAAGATGACCACTGAGCTTGACACATCTCTCTGAGGAATGAGGTTGGCCATGGTTGGCAAGCTCCTTAACCATAAGTCGTGTGACGCACTGTGGAGATCTACATCAAAGACATAAAAGAACAATTCTCTTTGCTATTAAAAACTCCAAATTGCTTTAATGCAAGGATGATATTTGATTGCTTCCAGCAGCATAATAGTCAAATAAGAGCCATTATTAGAGTGAGGAGGGAGAAATTGTGAATGCTTGTCAATTATGGAGAGGCAGTACGCATGGCTGATTTCACAGATCAGGTCGTGTAATTCTATCACTGAGACTTCTGTGCATTAGGGAAAGGAAAAGAAATAAAAACATAATCTAATAAACACAAGAAATAACTCATTAACTTAGTTTCCAATAACAAGATTTATGCGCATATCTGCCCACAACATCATAGAAAATCCACATTTTCTTACTCCCCCAGATCTGCTTTCACCAAGCAATACAAAACCCTAGAGAACGAGGTTCTTCAAAATAAAGTGGTAATAATAATAATAATGCTTGTATTTGATATAGTGCCTTTCATGTCATTGAGAAGTCTCAAAGCACTTCACAGGATATACTGTAAGCGTGTATAATTCTTAGGAGGGCATCTCAAAGTGCTTCATAGGATTTACCATAAAGTGTAAACCGACGGTTTTGTGAGCGAAATGCGGCAGCTAGTTTGACAGAACGTGAATGGTAGACATTCAGGTTTGTTTTAAATCAGAAGAATCAATCTTAGAAAGTCAGTCCAGAAGAAGCTCCCAAAGGATCTAGAATCTGAGCTGAACAGACAGTAAAAGTGCTGACATGACAAGTCTTCAAGTACTAAACCTACACTTCAGCAAAAAAAATGATTAGCGTAATCCTTTAGTTGTAAGAAAAATAATAGTTTCATATTTATATCCTAGAAAATATATACAAGATAAATTTACCATAAAATCTAGTTAAATCTCTGAAGCTTAAAACAAGCTGCTTCTCTGATCACCAAATTTACAAACTAACTGGTATCAATGTCACCAACGTACAGATGACACACTAAGGACCAGGCAAAGCAACAACCAGGACTTGTACAACAATGTTCCATGAATGATGAACATCCTGAAAAGCTTCCCAATGTCAATAGTGATCACTGAGCAAGAAGTGTGGGGTGGGGTGGGGGGGAGGTGAAGGTTGGGAAGAGAATGTAAGTTCGCACAAACCTCTCCTTCCACTCCCAACTCGAGCCCCTCTAGTCTGGCTTCCGCCCTACCCACAGCTCCGAGAAGACGCTCCTCAACGTCACAAATGACTTCCTCTCTCTCTGTGACCATGGCTCCCTCTGCTTCCTTGTCCTCCTGGACCTCTCCACTTCCTTCAAGCCATCCTCCTCCACCACCTCTTCTCCTTGAACCATCCTTTTGGGACCACACTCTCCTGGTTCAAGTCCTACTTAACCAATTGCCATCACTTCACTCGAAGCATACACTTCCTTTAGTGGCCTTTAGTGCTGGAGGGAGCTTTAACTTGATTGTGCATGCATCCAGCCTTTATTCCTCAGATTTTGTCATTTAGCAAAGTAGCTCAGACTCTAAAGTGAATACCACATGTTGGCAGCATTAATATACCGGACCAGATTATTACCTCATTAAAACAATCCATTTGTGCTATTTGGGAAGTGTCATTTTTTTTTACAACTTCCACTCAAGGAATGTTCGTAATAAAAGCGAATGGAATAAATAACCATTTGTATTTGTCTTGCAATAATGTGGTCGATGTTCGACTAACTAATACCCAAAACAGTTTTCCATATGCTCGTTCTGTTAGTTTATACTGTGGATTACCTTCACCAGTGAATGAAGGCTTTTTTCACCAAACATATCCCGTAGGAAGGTCAGGTCCTCCTGGCTGTTCACATGTGGCTGCAGCTGGGTTGGCAAAGAGGCCAACAGTTCATACAGACCTGCGAATAAATATGAAACACTATCAGTACAATGCGTTAGGAAACTTTCATAATTTAACCCATACCCATTGTGTAGCTGTCAGACTGGGCCGTCCCAGTTTTAATTTAAGGAAACCTACAAGCTGTGTAAAAGAAATGCATCAGAATGAATCTATTCTAAAATCTCTGGAGATAGTCCAGGGTTACAAAAGGCGCTGCCCTCGCTTTGAGTGGCAAGCTTTCCCGACAGCCTCGGAAAGGTAGACAGTAGCACACTGTTCTACAGTAGCATAAAGGACAGTCCATCCATCAAGTAGCAGCCAACATGAGTCAAAGTAATGTAGTTACAGTGAAAGCTGGAGCCGCCTTTAGGGAGGTAACCTGGCATCGGTTAAAGTCAAGTTGCAGCACATGTTCGATTTTCCAGGAGGATTACACAGTGTAAAAGGACAAACTGTGGCTTTCACCCCCTCTGCTGTCTCCAAACACAGGCAGGTTCTGACCACCTATAGAGAATATGCCTGTTATTCTTCGGTTTTAACAAACACCTCTCCCATCCCTTCACAAACAGATTTTCATTCTATTAAGTTAGAATACTCTATTGCAACCTCTCTTTTCCAACCTGCAATGCATGTTTCACAAATGGGATATGGAGTGGGGGGGGGGGGCAGAGTGAGAAAAAATAAATATTTGTCACATGATGCATTAAAGTTCATATCTTGTGATTGGCTTACAAAATACCCAAACTAAATGAATCAACATAAAAATATTTCTGCTAAACGAAGTAAGCTTACTGTTTTTGAAAAGGTGAGCCCTCACCTACATTTTCCATTTACACAGTTTGTGAATATTGTTAGCAGGAATATTGTATCAGAAGCTACCCATGAAAGCATTTCGGAACGCATGACCAAAAGAGACAACAATAACAACAAGATTACATTTGTATAGTGCCTTTCACGTCGGGAAGACGTCCCAGTGGGGTCTGGGGGGGGGGGGAAGAAGGGAGGGGAGGGGAGGGGAAGGAGGGTGGCCGGTGGCATTGTCGAAGAGGAGGGTCTTGAGGCGGGACTTGAAGGAGGCTAAGGAGGGGGCGAGGCGGAGTGATTGGGGGATGGAATTCCAGAGATTGGGGGCAGAGTGGATAAAGGCTCTCCTGCCAATGGTGGGGAGGGTGGGTCGGGGGACATGGAGCAGGCCGGAGCCGGCTGAGCGGAGGGAGCGGGCGGGTTGGTAGGGGGTTAGGAGGTCGCAGAGGTAGGGGGGGCGTGGCCATTGAGGGCTTTGTAGGTGAGGATCAGGATCTTGAACTGGATCCTCTGAAGGATTAGGGAACCAATGGAGTCGGGTGAGAATGGGGTAGATGGGGTCACGGAGTTTGGTGCGGGAGAGAACACGGGCTGCAGAGTACTGGATTATCTGCAGCCTATGGAGGGAGGAGTTGGGAAGGCCGATAAGCAGGGAGTTGGCATAGTTGAGCCTGGAGGTGATGAAGGCATGAACAAGAGTTTCAGCGGCCTGAGGAGCGGTAGTGGCGGAGTCAGGCGATGTTATGTAGGTGAGGGAAGGTAGAGCGGGTCATGGCTTGGAAGTGGGGAAGAAAAGACAGTTGAGGATCAAACAAGACACCTAGGTTCCTGACTGGCTGGTGAGTTGAAGTGTGCAACCATGGAGGTTGTTGCTGCCAGAGCCTGAGACTGCATAATTGTACTCAAACACGCACATATCCTAATTTTCCCCACACAAACATACACGTGCTTGCACAACAATATTCACTTATAAATAGTTACTGCACTTAGCAGTATATTCTGTGAAACGTTTTGAGATTGAACGTGAAAGGCGCTATATCAAATGAAATGGTAATTATGTGTCTAGTTTCTTTTACTCAGATTTTCATCAGCATTATTACAGCAAGACACAGGACTATTGCCACAAATCAGCAGCTCAGCAACAAGATGAGGTAAACTGAGGATGATCACCAGACGAATAAAAAGAGGAGGTTGTGAGATTTGGGGCAGGTGGAATACTTACAACTTACTAATGGCTGTTCGAGCCACATTCACTCCGTGACATGAAGGGTGCTATAATAATAATCTTTGCATTTGGTATAGCGCCTTAATAATAATAATAATCCTTGCATTTGATATAGCGCTTTTCACGTCAGGAGGACGTCCCAAAGGGCTTCACAGAATAGACTGTAAAGTGAATTGACTGTATATTTGTGGGCGAACGCGGCAGCCAATTGCGCACAGCAATGTCCCACAAACAGTCGTAGATTGAAAATGACCAATTTATTATTGTTTTGTTTTGGAGGGATTATTATTAGGCGTGTGGAGTAAGGAAACTTGCCCAAGGTTTTGCGCTGCCTGGAATTGAACTCAGGTCTCTCACTTGCAAAACGAGTGCTCTAACCACTGAGCTACAGGACTCCACATTATCAAGTCTTTGAGATATCTCAAAGCACTTCACAGAATATATTATAACAACAACAAAATTACATTTGTACAGCACCTTTCATGTCGGGAGGATGTATAAAAGTGCTGGGTAATCAGTGTTTCGGACCTGAGCTGGGGGTTGGGATCAGGGAGGATGCAGGGCGGGTGGGTGGGGGGGGGGGGGGAGAAGAAAGGAGGGTGACCGAAGGCACAACAACAACAACAAAACTACATTTATAGAGCGCCTTTCACGTTGGGAGGACGTCCCAGGGCACTGAACAGTCAGGGGTGAGGAACTGAGCATGAGGGAGGGGAGGCGTAGGGGTGAGGGAAGACAGAGAGGTGGGTGGGCGACTGAAGACATGATCGATGAGGAAGGTCTTGAGATCGTCCTTGAAGGAAGCAAGAGAGGAAGCGAGGCGAAGGGACTGTGGGATGGAGTTCCAGAGTGGGGGCAGAGAGGCTGAAAGCTCGGCCACCTATGGAAGGGCGCGAGACATGGAGCAGGCCGGAGTCCGCTGAACAGAGGGAGCGGCCAGGTTGGTAGGGAGTCAGCAGGTCAGAGAGGTAGGAGGGGACAAGGCCATGTGAGGACAAGGATCTTGAATTCAATCCTCTAAGGGATGGGGAGCCAGTGGAGTCGGGCGAGGGTGGGAGTGATGGGGTCACGGAACCTGGTGCGTGAGAGTACACGAGCTGCAGAGTTTTGGATGATCTGCAGCTTGTGAAGAGAAGAGTTGGGAAGGCCGATGAGGAAGGAGTTTCTGTAATCGAGCCTTGATGTGACGAATGCATGGGTGAGGGTTGCTGCAGCCTGAGGGTTGAGGCAGTGACGGAGTCTGGCAATGTTGCGCAGGTGGTGGTAGGCAGTGCCGGTCATTGGTGGATGTGGGGGAGAAAGGACAGTTCAGGGTCAAACAAGACACCCAGGTTCCTGACTGGCTTAGTGAGGTTGAGTGTGCAGCCGTGGAGGCTGATGCTGCCAGCGCCTGAGGTGCGGAGGCGCTGGCAAGAGCCGATCAGGAGGGCCTCGGTCTTGCTGACGTTCAGTTGGCACAGTCGAAGAGGAGGGCATTGAGGCAGGTCTTGAAGGAGGCAGGGAGGGGGTGAGGCGGAGGGACTGTGGGATGGATTTCCAGAGGGTTGGGGCAGAGTGGCAGACAGTGGGGTGAGCAAGGTGGGGGGCATGAAGCAGGCTGGAGCCCGCAGAGCAGAGGGTTAGGTTGGTTGGGGGTTAGATTATAAAGTTGATCGACTATGTACTTTGTGGGTGAAACGCGGCAGTCAATTGCACACAGCAGTGTCCACAGTATTATCCAAACAGTCGTGGATTGAGTGGCTACATAGTTTATTGGAGGGATTATTAATCTCAGAAAGCAATCTGCAATCGACTAACAGCTGGGTTCCTACTTACTGCTAGGTAAGCAGAGTCGTGTGGAGTAAGTAAACTTGCCTAAGGTTTTGCCCTGCCCAGAAATCAAAACCTTAATATATAAATACAGGTTGTTCATACTGAAGCATTTAAAAGGGAATTGGATAAATACTTGAGGGGAAAAAAATTGTATGTGGAAAGAACAGGGAGATGAGAATAGAATAAAGAGTTCCAATAGGGAATCAAGCACTGACAGCGGTACACAAGACAGAATGCAAAATTCTGAAGGGTAATATTCTGTGATGAAACATGAACTTATACTTCATCGAACATCAAATAGAGTCCATTGTTGCACAATGTTGCTTTTGTTTTATCATTCCACTGCTCAGATATTATAGTTTTGCCCAGACAGTGCTGTTAAGCACTTTGGGACACCAGAAGAATAAAAAGAGGAGGTTGTGAGAATTTTTTTTACACATGGGGCTGGTGGAATACTTAATACTTACTACTGGCTGTTTGAGCCACAGTCACTCCGAGACGTGAAGAGCGCTATAATAATAATAATCCTTGCATTTGATATAGCGCCTTATCGAGCCTTTGAGACGTATCAAAGCATTTTACAGAATATATTATAACAAGAATAACAAAATTACATTTATATAGCGCCTTTCACATCGGGCGTAAGTCCCAAGGCGCTGGACAATCAGTGCTGGTTGTTTGTTTCATCCCTTAGTGAAAGGCATTATATATGAATGAAAATTTGTATTGTACGTTGTAATTTTAAAAAAATGTGGTCAGCTAGGTGTTCGACACACAAAGAAACCTATCACCACGCTTTGAGAGTATCCAAATAAATGGAGCCATTTAACCTCCGAAGAGACCCTGCTGATCTCCACCTACCCCCTAACTCCCATGGAAGATAAAATAATGAAAGGGATCTTGTCCTTCTGGGGTGCCCTGAAGGTCCAACACAAGGGCGCTATATAAATGCAAGTTGTTGTTCTGCGATGGTTCTCACCCCTTTTGTGTAACCCGCAAAGGTCGGTTACGCAAAGTGTACTAGGTACCCTGTTTTCAGTTCTATCTCTGTAAGTGCAAATCCCTACTCTTGTGGAACTTCACTATTCAGAGCAACACAACGACAGATATTCTCAATTGGCTTACTCCCCATGCAATTGAGATGCTTTCCCCAGTGCCTTATCAGGCACTACCAGGCC